TTTTTCCACCCAAAAAAATTATACTTTTATTCATCAAGGATGCATTTAATGGATTGTGGAAGCAATTTAATATGTTCTATATGTGCATTTTCTTATATTCATAGTAATTAGATTAAGGTAGTAAAATGCACGAGGATTGCATGTGGAGTCCCATGATTCTCTGCTACATTGATGGAGCAAAGAACTATTAACCCTTATCTGTGTATGTGTGTGTATGACCTTGTATACGTGACTTGACTAAAAGTAACGTGTGACTGAGACAAAGGGCCTTTTACACATTAGTAGTAGGATGCAACAATGTGTTAGTTATGGGACACGCTGTTCATGATGACATACAGGGAGTCAACTATAAAGAAGAAAGGATGCCCTCCATTCTCAGTCTTTGACGCTCAAACACACTTAGAGACTACTGAGCCTTTAAAAGATCGATCTCAGCCACATGCTATTTTTTCTTCATGTTAAAGAAAACAAAGGAGTCGTTTTCCTGGAGGCAAATCCACCCTGAAATAAGCGGGACCTGCTGGATTAGTGTGCGATCTGTCTGGAGGCATGACAAATGTTACTTAGCTTACTCAAATCTAATTAAATTACGTGTGCATAAATCAGATATTCTTTTTGTTCCTTTCCAAGTCTCAAACCGATCTAGAACACATCAGCGATGTTAGCGCATAAGAAACGTATGCACTCAATTGAGCCAGATCATTTTTATCCGATAGTAAGACTTACACACAAACTCCGATGGAAACACATTTACTGAATAAATCCCTCAATGCACGCACATAAACTCAGCGGAGGCTGTGATTGGATAACTGGAGTAACCAGTGGACCAATGGCGTCGCAGCGTCTCTAATGTTGGTTTGGTGTTTCTGAAACGCCGGAGTCGAAGTGTGTGATCAGAATGATTTGGTCTAATTCCCTCCAGAAGCGTCTCACACACACGAGTGTGTTCCCGAACACCAGCATCCGAACGCCAGAGAACACGACAGCGTTTACTGTTTCGTCTGACGCTCTGAGACACACTCGTTTATGATGGAGGGAAAACGAGAAAGATTGCAGAAACTTACAGTTTTATTACTGATATTTTGTACCAATTTCCCAGGAAGTGACGATTTTGTTCTCTTGAACACATGGGATGGAAACGCCGTTTTATTCACTAATGTTTTACGATATTCCAGTTAAAGGGATAGTTCACCCAAAATTGAAAATTCGCCCATGATTTACTCACCCTGAAGCCATCCTAGGTGTATATGACACTCTTCTTTCAGACGAATACAATCAGAGTTATATTAAAAAATGTCCTGGCTCTTCCAAGCTTTATAATGGGAGTGAATGGGTATATTTTTTGGGAAGTCCATCAAAGTGCATCTATCCATCATAAAAGTGCATCTATCCATCATAAAAGTGCATCAATCAATACAATCAGAGTTATATTAAAAAATGTCCTGGCTCTTCCAAGCTTTATAATGGGAGTGAATGGGTATATTTTTTGGGAAGTCCATCAAAGTGCATCTATCCATCATAAAAGTGCATCTATCCATCATAAAAGTGCATCAATCCATGATAAAAGTGCATCTATCCATCATAAAAGTGCATCTGTCCATCATGAAAGTGCATCTATCCATCATAAAAGTGCATCTATCCATCATAAAAGTGCATCTGTCCATCATAAAAGTGCATCTATCCATCATAAAAGTGCATCTATCCATCATAAAAGTGCATCAATCCATGATAAAAGTGCATCTATCCATCATAAAAGTGCATCTGTCCATCATAAAAGTGCATCTATCCATCATAAAAGTGCATCTATCCATCATAAAAGTGCATCTGTCCATCATAAAAGTGCATCTATCCATCATAAAAGTGCATCTATCCATCATAAAAGTGCATCTACCCATTATAAAAGTGCATCTGTCCATCATAAAAGTGCATCTATCCATCATAAAAGTGCATCTGTCCATCATAAAAAGTGCATCTGTCCATCATAACAGTGCATCTGTCCATCATAAAAAGTGCATCTATCCATCATAAAAGTGCATCTATCCATGATAAAAGTGCATCTGTCCATCATAAAAGTGCATCTACCCATGATAAAAGTGCATCTGTCCATCATAAAAGTGCATCTGTCCATCATAAAAGAGCATCTACCCATGATAAAAGTGCATCTACCCATGATAAAAGTGCATCTATCCATGATAAAAGTGCATCTGTCCATCATAAAAGTGCATCTACCCATCATAAAAGTGCATCTACCCATCATAAAAGTGCATCTGTCCATCATAAAAGTGCATCTGTCCATCATAAAAAGTGCATCTATCCATCATAAAAGTGCATCTGTCCATCATAAAAGTGCATCTATCCATCATAAAAGTGCATCTGTCCATCATAAAAGTGCATCTATCCATCATAAAAGTGCATCTATCCATCATAAAAGTGCATCTGTCCATCATAAAAAGTGCATCTATCCATCATAAAAGTGCATCTGTCCATCATAAAAGTGCATCTGTCCATCATAAAAGTGCATCTGTCCATCATAAAAGTGCATCTATCCATCATAAAAGTGCATCTGTCCATCATAAAAGTGCATCTGTCCATCATAAAAGTGCATCTGTCCATCATAAAAGTGCATCTATCCATCATAAAAGTGCATCTGTCCATCATAAAAGTGCATCTATCCATCATAAAAGTGCATCTACCCATGATAAAAGTGCATCTGTCCATCACAAAAGTGCATCTCACCATCATAAAAGCGCATCTATCCATGATAAAAGTGCATCTATCCATCATAAAAGCGCATCTATCCATGATAAAAGTGCATCTATCCATCATAAAAGTGCATCTATCCATCATAAAAGTGCATCTATCCATCATAAAAGTGCATCTGTCCATCATAAAAGTGCATCTATCCATCATAAAAGTGCATCTATCCATCATAAAAGTGCATCTACCCATGATAAAAGTGCATCTGTCCATCATAAAAGTGCATCTATCCATCATAAAAGTGCATCTGTCCATCATAAAAAGTGCATCTGTCCATCATAAAAGTGCATCTGTCCATCATAAAAAGTGCATCTGTCCATCATAAAAGTGCATCTATCCATGATAAAAGTGCATCTGTCCATCATAAAAGTGCATCTACCCATGATAAAAGTGCATCTGTCCATCATAAAAGAGCATCTACCCATGATAAAAGTGCATCTATCCATCATAAAAGTGCATCTATCCATCATAAAAGAGCATCTACCCATGATAAAAGTGCATCTACCCATGATAAAAGTGCATCTATCCATGATAAAAGTGCATCTGTCCATCATAAAAGTGCATCTACCCATCATAAAAGTGCATCTACCCATGATAAAAGTGCATCTATCCATGATAAAAGTGCATCTGTCCATCATAAAAGTGCATCTACCCATCATAAAAGTGCATCTATCCATCATAAAAGTGCATCTGTCCATCATAAAAAGTGCATCTATCCATCATAAAAGTGCATCTGTCCATCATAAAAGTGCATCTATCCATCATAAAAGTGCATCTATCCATCATAAAAGTGCATCTGTCCATGATAAAAGTGCATCTGTCCATCATTAAAGTGCATCTACCCATGATAAAAGTGCATCTATCCATGATAAAAGTGCATCTGTCCATCATAAAAGTGCATCTACCCATCATAAAAGTGCATCTACCCATCATAAAAGTGCATCTATCCATCATAAAAGTGCATCTGTCCATCATAAAAAGTGCATCTATCCATCATAAAAGTGCATCTGTCCATCATAAAAGTGCATCTGTCCATCATAAAAGTGCATCTATCCATCATAAAAGTGCATCTGTCCATCATAAAAGTACATCTATCCATCATAAAAGTGCATCTATCCATCATAAAAGTGCATCTGTCCATCATAAAAAGTGCATCTATCCATCATAAAAGTGCATCTGTCCATCATAAAAGTGCATCTGTCCATCATAAAAGTGCATCTGTCCATCATAAAAGTGCATATATCCATCATAAAAGTGCATCTGTCCATCATAAAAGTGCATCTATCCATCATAAAAGTGCATCTGTCCATCATAAAAGTGCATCTGTCCATCATAAAAGTGCATCTGTCCATCATAAAAGTGCATCTGTCCATCATAAAAGCGCATCTATCCATGATAAAAGTGCATCTATCCATCATAAAAGCGCATCTATCCATGATAAAAGTGCATCTATCCATCATAAAAGTGCATCTGTCCATCATAAAAGTGCATCTGTCCATCATAAAAGTGCATCTATCCATCATAAAAGTGCATCTGTCCATCATAAAAGTGCATCTGTCCATCATAAAAGTGCATCTATCCATCATAAAAGTGCATCTGTCCATCATAAAAGTGCATCTGTCCATCATAAAAGTGTATCTATCCATCATAAAAGTGCATCTGTCCATCATAAAAGTGCATCTGTCCATCATAAAAGCGCATCTATCCATGATAAAAGTGCATCTATCCATCATAAAAGTGCATCTGTCCATCATAAAAGTGCATCTGTCCATCATAAAAGTGCATCTATCCATCATAAAAGTGCATCTGTCCATCATAAAAGTGCATCTATCCATCATAAAAGTGCATCTATCCATCATAAAAGTGCATCTGTCCATCATAAAAGTGCATCTATCCATCATAAAAGTGCATCTGTCCATCATAAAAAGTGCATCTATCCATCATAAAAGTGCATCTGTCCATCATAAAAGTGCATCTGTCCATCATAAAAGTGCATCTGTCCATCATAAAAGTGCATCTGTCCATCATAAAAGTGCATCTGTCCATCATAAAAGTGCATCTGTCCATCATAAAAGTGCATCTGTCCATCATAAAAGTGCATCTATCCATCATAAAAGTGCATCTGTCCATCATAAAAGTGCATCTGTCCATCATAAAAGTGCATCTATCCATCATAAAAGTGCATCTGTCCATCATAAAAGTGCATCTGTCCATCATAAAAGTGTATCTATCCATCATAAAAGTGCATCTGTCCATCATAAAAGTGCATCTGTCCATCATAAAAGCGCATCTATCCATGATAAAAGTGCATCTATCCATCATAAAAGTGCATCTGTCCATCATAAAAGTGCATCTGTCCATCATAAAAGTGCATCTATCCATCATAAAAGTGCATCTGTCCATCATAAAAGTGCATCTATCCATCATAAAAGTGCATCTATCCATCATAAAAGTGCATCTGTCCATCATAAAAGTGCATCTATCCATCATAAAAGTGCATCTGTCCATCATAAAAAGTGCATCTATCCATCATAAAAGTGCATCTGTCCATCATAAAAGTGCATCTGTCCATCATAAAAGTGCATCTGTCCATCATAAAAGTGCATCTGTCCATCATAAAAGTGCATCTGTCCATCATAAAAGTGCATCTGTCCATCATAAAAGTGCATCAATATTTAAAACTAAAATAACTAGCTTACTGCAGACGGCCGTACACATCAATTTACGACGATTGTATTGTGTTGTAACTCTGATTGTATTCGTCTGAAAGAAGAGTGTCATACACCCCTGGGATGGCTTCAGGGAGAGTAAATCATGGGCGAATTTTCATTTTTGCCTGAACTATCCCTTTAACTCTACATCACGTGTGCTGAGTGGTGTTTCTGTACCTGCACAGGTTTTCCCCGTAACCCTGCGGTGGACGCTCGCTCCTCACAGGACTGAAGTCTGAACACACGTCCTCGGTCCGGTCCAGGCTGGACTGAGCCGACGCCGGCCCGCACATCTGTCTCTGGTAGTACATGTGTACGCTGTCCCGGGAGGGAGTGTTCCCCTGCGGAGAGGCAGAGCAGCGTTAAACCTCAGCGTGTGCAGGTCTGTCCGCTCCTAGCATGAAGCTCATTCATCAGCGGCGTAACGACACATGTGACCCTGGACCACAGAACCAGTCACAAGGGCACCTTTTTAGAAACTGAGATTTATACATCACCTGAAAGCTGAATAAATAATCTTTCTATTGATGTATGGTTTGTTACTTAGGATAGGACAATATTTGGCCGAATTAACTATTTGAAAACTATTTGAAAAATCTGTAATCTGAGGGTGCAAAAAAAATCTAAACATTGAGAAAATCGCCTTTAAAGTTGTCCATTTTTGTTCGTGATATTGCGGCATCTACTCACAAAAATATTTGTTTTATATATTTACGGTAGGACCTCGTGTGTGAGCAGATAAAACACAAGTGTGTGTTTGTGACCGTACCTTCTTGACCTCGTGTGTGAGCAGTGGCACTGCAACAGTTAGCATTACATCGCCTCAGATTAGTTAGCGTCCGAGGGACAGGTGGGGTTTGGGGGAGCTAATACAATGCTAAATCATAAATCAGATTTTCCTATGTACAATAACATATCGATGTCCAGCAATCGATTTAAATAGTACATTGTGTTTAATTTGTCGTTTAATGAAATCTAATATGTCGTTGTTGGTGAGAATTTTCACGTGAAGAAATACATAAATCTGACGATTACATGCATGCACTTTAATGGTCCAGTGGCAGAACTCTAACGGGCGCGATCGAACTAGGTGTGTGTGTGTGTGTGTGAGAGAGAGTGTGTGTGTGTGTGTGCAGGCCCGCCGACAGGGGGGGACAAACGGGTCTGTTGTCCCGGGCCCAGGGTAGGGAGGGGAGCCCAGAACTGGGCCCTCATTAAATTATGGAATAATTCTTAAAAAATAAATAAAATATTTATTTTATTTTATTAAATATTTATTTTATTCCCCCCGGGATGCGCGTGCATGCCCAAAGCGCGTGCAGTTGCGTCCTCTTCATAAAAGCGCTGAGACACGGCGACCGGCGGTGCTGCTGCTGTGGTGGCTGTAAATCCACTTGTTGATAAGAAAGGAGGAAAGAGCCACATATGGAAATATTTTGTATATTAGCTCATAATAGCGACGTAGCGCGCTCGTTTTTACAGGCGCGCCTAAGTTCATTGTTGCATAGCAACGACAGACGCCACGGGAGAGCAAACGCTTGTGGAAAGGAGAAAGCGGTGCGAACTGCGCTCTCCATGATGACGAGGAAGTATTAGCAAAGAATTTATTGATTTCTAGCCCTTGGATTAGCTTTACTACTATTTATGGAGATGAGAAATAAAAAGCCGGCTGAAATGCATCTCTGTCATCATCGGGGAACAGATAATGGGTCAGATCCGAGTCTATTTTTGCTGCGCTGCTCATGCTTAAAAGTGAAAGCACACTTTTGATGGACAAAAAATAAATATGATTTCACACAAAAAGTGCCCAAAATGCACAGATTATGCATGTCTAGTGTGTTTTAACAAGAACTGCAGTAGGCTATGTCAGAAAAGAAAATGAAGACATTTATAGAAAATGTACCCATTTAAACGTGTCTTTATTATTCATTTTGGGTAAAAGTATATGGTGTTTTATAAAAAATTAAAAAAAACGTGTGTGGGGGGGGGGCCCATCTAAGATTATCTTGTCCCGGGCCCAGGCAAGACTGTCAGCTGGCCTGTGTGTGTGTATGTGTGATTTTGGTTGGGTGACAGACAGTTGTAGGTCACAGTTTGACAAGATTTTAGAGTGTGACAAAAGCACAATGTTGTATTTTATTGCGAGTGTACACAAATATACACACTTTGCAGTTTGAACTTTGCGCACACACTGCAACATTGCAATCTTGACGTCGCAGCCTGTTTATTATGCTGCGTTCACACCAAACGCGAATAGAGCGAAATGTATCGCTATTTAGAGTTTTATTTATTTTTATACCGTGTATTCTCCGTGTAAATTCGTGTTCTCTGTGACGCCCGTAGGCTACCGTTTCGGTTCAATAGGAATACATGTACCGTTCCAGTACCCCTATACAACGCTGTCATTAAGTTGAAGTTATCACATTATAAAGTACAGTCCTCGCTCCAGACCTGCTCACTCGCTCTGTTTGGTTTCATTAGTGTGCTCCTTAGCACTGGAGCGCCCTCTGCTGGCCATAAGGTGCATCTGCACCAGCCATTTCAAACCCAGCCTCCAGTATTTGGGCCACGCCTCCTTTTTTGCATACACTCCTCAATCCTCAAATGCCCAATCCTAAATGGCTAAATCCCTAAATGCCCAATCCTAAATACGAAATTCATTTTCGACTTTTTAGTTTCAAACTTAGACTTTTGGTTTTCGTTTAAGACTTTTAGTTTTAGACTTTTAGTTTTAGACTTTTAGTTTTAGACTTTTAGTTTTAGACTTTTAGTTTTAGACTTTTAGTTTTCAATCTGACCATGCAGATGAAACACCAGTGTGTGTGTTTGTGACCGTACCTTCTTGACCTCGTGTGTGAGCAGATGAAACACCAGTGTGTGTGTTTGTGCCCGTACCTTCTTGACCTCGTGTGTGAGCAGATGAAACACCAGTGTGTGTGTTTGTGCCCGTACCTTCTTGACCTCGTGTGTGAGCAGATGAAACACCAGTGTGTGTGTTTGTGCCCGTACCTTCTTGACCTCGTGTGTGAGCAGATGAAACACCAGTGTGTGTGTTTGTGCCCGTACCTTCTTGACCTCGTGTGTGAGCAGATGAAACACCAGTGTGTGTGTTTGTGACCGTACCTTCTTGACCTCGTGTGTGAGCAGATGAAACACCAGTGTGTGTGTTTGTGACTGTACCTTCTTGACCTCGTGTGTGAGCAGATGAAACACCAGTGTGTGTGTTTGTGACTGTACCTTCTTGACCTCGTGTGTGAGCAGATGAAACACCAGTGTGTGTGTTTGTGACTGTACCTTCTTGACCTCGTGTGTGAGCTGATGAAACACCTGTGTGTGTGTTTGTGCCCGTACCTTCTTGACCTCGTGTGTGAGCAGATGAAACACCAGTGTGTGTGTTTGTGACTGTACCTTCTTGACCTCGTGTGTGAGCAGATGAAACACCTGTGTGTGTGTTTGTGCCCGTACCTTCTTGACCTTGTGTGTGAGCAGATGAAACACCAGTGTGTGTGTTTGTGACTGTACCTTCTTGACCTCGTGTGTGAGCAGATGAAACACCAGTGTGTGTGTTTGTGCCCGTACCTTCTTGACCTCGTGTGTGAGCATGCAGCGCTCGATGCGCAGGACGGTGGAGATGTCGATGTGCTCCTGACAGATGGAGTTCAGCCAGGCCGTGAAGCTGTCCAGCAGGGCCAGGAAAAGCACCCAGGAGAACTTCAGGATGTTAAACACTCGCTTCATGATGTTATCTAGAGCAGAGAGAGCAGAGCTGGACTGATGAATATGACGCATGTAACTCGTGAAGGTTATAATAATAATAATGACACGAGGCGGCCGTTGAAGTGTTCACACCTGGACCTTCCGACACCTCCTCCTCCTCCTCCTCCTCCTCTGCTACAGCTTCCTCATGATTCTCCTCAACGGCCACATGCACTGCACACAGAGAACACACCACATTAATACGGGCTTTCGCACCGGATAGTTCTAGCATCTAAACACTAGGGTGGTTCCCCGAGAACTTATGGTTCCCCATGGAATTATAATTATTGTTATTATTATAGGTATGTTTTCTGGTTGCGTTCGCATCTCCAGTAGGAACTCTGAAGTGACGAAAGCCGCGTTTGTTGTTGTGACTTTTATTTTGACGGCACTGAGAACGACTTCTCCTGTTCATTACAATCTGTCTAACAGTCCTGTCTAATATGTTATTAGATACAAGTATTATACATAGAAAGTAGACAGTAATGAAAAGGGTTACACTTTATTTTAACGTGTCATTGTTACTGTCACGGTGTGGGTTTTGTGTTTTGTTCCTTGTTCTTGTCTGTCATGTGATTCCCTGTTTGTCATGTTATCCTGCCATGTGTCTTGTCTTTTGTCATGTTGTTGCTCAGTGTCCACAGGTGTTCCTCGTCTATGTCTATTAGTCTCCCCAGGTGTCTCTTATTAACCACGCCCCCTTGTTATCTTGTTTAGCTTGTTTGTCTGTGTATTTAAACCCCTGTGTTTCAGTTGTTGGCTGTCGGTTGTCGTTT